AGGGCCTTCCGCACCGAAGGAGGGATACACTGCGACCCCATGCCCATCGTCAAGATCATCATCCGCGGCCAGAACGACCCCCCGCCCATCCTCCAGTGGAACGAGCAAGCCTTCGACCATCAACAATATCAGGCCATCGACCGTGGCAACATCCTCACCTCCTTCCAGGCGCCCTTCGCTGACGCAGAGGCTGCCACGTGGCGCCCCTAACCACCGCTGGGCTCCATGGCGATTTGACGCCGCCACGGAGCCGACTACTATCGCCACGTGGAACGATCGAGCTCTCATGCGATGCAAGGGCAGGCGACGCCGTCGCAAACCGTCTGCTTTCACGCAGTTCATGAAGCGTAAGTGCGCGATCACGCCCCAGGCGCTCCGCGCCTGGGTCGACGCGCAGCCGTATCCTTACAAGGTCTACTTCTCACCGTTTCCTCGGGTCGACGGCGACAACACCACAGGGGGAGTCGCCGCGCTTGTTCCGCGGCTCCCGCTGATGGAGCTGGAACAGCTCCAGTCGCATCAGCTCCCGCTCTTCGATCATGTCGAAATTGTTCCTGGACTTGTCCGGCAGCTCACGATCACGCGCAGTCTCTCGCAGGCCACCACGGTTATCATGAATGTCCACAACCACCGCGTCGCGTTCGACGACCGCCGCAAGACCCAGCTGGCGCGGGGGCTCTATCGCACATGGGCGGAGGCGAACTCCCGCACGCGCACAGTCATTGCGATCGGGGACTTCAATGTTGCCAGCCGCCCTCCGCAGAACATCTTCCAACCGCAACCGCAGGAGGCGCGCCTAGGCCTCGATAACAGCATGCGCCAACAGCGGCCGTTCTGGAGGGCCCTGTTTGACTCTATGCTCGAGATCGAGGCCGGCCTCCCGACGCGCTTCAACCGCTCGGACTACACCGCCTCCACCATCGACCGCATCTTCATCAGCCCCCCCTCTCACGCCGCGACCGAGCTCACCATCAACGCGAAGGCCGCGCGCGATGCGCCACTACTTCCGGACGACCGCCTCAGCGACCACGCGATCACACTCTCCATCGGCATCATACCACGCACCCCGCCCATCGACCAGGCCATCCACCCGTCGATCTTTCGCAACCCGAACTATGCTGGATGCCACGGAGACCAACCACGTATCCATAGACAGCCGCTGGCGCACTCAGAAGAGGCCCACGGTTGAAGCGGCGCGGCTGGCACGCGATGATTGGGTTCGGAAGACCACCGGCGACGCTAACAAGACGGGCCTTCTCGCTGGGAGCGCCCTCACTGCCCGCCCCTTATCCCGAGCCATCTGGCGGCGAGATCTCCACCTAGCTCGCCGAGTCGCCACCGCCGCCGCCCTGGGCGCCAAGTACCTCTCGATCGACAACGGCGCCATCACGCTCCTCGACCCCATCGCCTCCGCCACCCAGGCCGCGCAGCTGCGCCGCGACTTCGAGGCCAGGCAACTCTCTCTTGCCCAGCAGGCAGCTCAGAGGCACGAGGGGCAAGGAGGAGCACTGCCGCCAGAGAAGCTTCGGCCCATTATGCGGTCCCCCCAACGTCGGGCCCTCCTTTGGGCCCCCTGGAGACGCCGTCTCGTCATCCAGGGCATCAAGATCCCAGGCCCCGATGGGCCTCAGACTGCCAGAGAGAGCAGCCCCATTGCTGCTGCTCTTCGCGCGCGCCGGCAGCCCATCTTCGAAGCGAAGCATACCGACATCGCCAAGGTCACCGAGTGCATCCACACGCACATGCCGAAAGGCGCTCCCTCGACATCGGGGCGCCCGCCAAGCCGCAGATCAAAGCCTTCCCGCGCAGGACCTCCCCATCGGCTCCAGGTCCTGATCCCCTGCCATATTATGCCTGGCTCGCGCGCGACGCATCGCTCGACCTGCTCGAGGACTTATCCTTCTTCCTCTGCTCGGGCCAGCACTACATCCGCGATATGAATGACTCCGACTTCGCCTTCCAGCCGAAGGGTGGCAACGCACTGGGCGAGCTCGCCGCTGACAGGGCGCCCGGGGACACGCGCCCCCTCTCGCTGAAGAACACGGACATCAAAGCCGTCGCTGGCGCCGCTACTTACACGTTCAAGAGCGCTGTGACAGAGCGCGCACTCCGCCCAGCAGGGCTTCGTCCAGGGCCGCAACTTTACCAAACACATCGTCCGCTTCGACGCTGAGATGCGCCGTGCTGGATGGCTACCAGAAGCTCTTGTTTCCACACCCGTCTTCGCCAGCTCTGACTTCTCGGCGGCCGGGATAGGCGCTTCATCGCGCTCGAGCACTTCGGCCTCCCGCAGGGCATCCTCAACCTCTTTCGGGCCATGTGTTTTGCGCCCACCAGTTACATCAGGATCGACTGAGTGCGCCACGACACGTTCGCGATAGGCTCTGGAGTGGCACAGGGCTGCCCCGCATCAGGCTCGGCATGGGCGATGGCCATGGACCCGGTCATCCGTCACATTGCGTCGATCGTGGAAGATTCGAACGGCGCGCCGATCCTCGACGCTGGCTGCGCGGGCGCCTGCGCCAGCGACATTGGCTTGCTGACGCACTCATTCGACGCGCTGCGCCAACTGACCGCCCCGTTTGCCGCTGCAGAGGAGCTCGCGCTTCTCTCTCTGAAGCCTCGCAAGTGCTTTATCGTTCCCCTTTGGTCTGCCGCGTCCCGGCCACCGTTGCCGCGACGAAAGCGCCCCTGGCCGAACTCGGGCCTCCGTGGGGTGGCTTCTCGGTTGCAGGGCGAGCAAAATACCTGGGCAGTTTTCTCGGTCCCGAGGCCCCGCTGGCCTGCCAATGGCTCGTTCCCTGCAGAAATGGCGGCAACGGGGTAATTTTCCTCAGCTCGTGCAGAGTGGCAGCGACGCAACGGTTCGCTTATACCATGCATCAGCGCTGTCTACTCTGAGCTATGTTTCGCATTTCTTCCCCCTTGATTCCTCCATCGCTCGCCGCGAACTGAATATTTTCCACAAGTGCTCAGCATGCCACCGAATTCTTTCCGCGGGGTCCGAATTTCTGCAGCGGCGACTCTTGCAGGCTCTTGGGAGACCTTCGCAGATCGCCCAGCAGAACTGTCGTGGGAAGAAACAGCGCTGCAGAACGCTCCCCGCTGGCAGGCAGGCGCTCGGTCTCCACCATTTTGGTCCTCCCAGACAGCCATCGTTCAGTACAACCGCTCTCTCATGCGCCACGAAGCTCAGTTGCCGCTCATAAGCCAGTCGATTGCCGCTGCCGCCCGCGTTGCCCGCAATGAGCAGAGAGATGCGGCAGCAGCGAACCCGCCCCGACGTGCCAAGTTCCAACGCATCTATTCAGCCCAGCTGCGCGACCAGTCTTTCAGTCTGCTTTCAACGTCACGGTTTCCAAGCGCCTCCTTGCCTTGGACCTCCAAGCGCCCCTGGTACCTGGAGAGTTACAGAAGCGCTGGGAGGCACTGACCGACACTCTCAAGCAATTGCGCCCGAGCTGGCGTTGGGCCACTTTCAAGGCCCTCAGCGGTGGTTGGACGACCACGGCTAGAATGCATATTCTACAGCAGCGCAAGTGCGCGTTCGGATGCACGGACGCGCCTGACTCATCCCCGCACTAACACTGCCAGCGCGCGCATGGCGGCCGTCTCGCAAGCAGACCTTGTCGCCTCACGCCGCGCTGCTCTCGCACTACTATACAAGTAGAGGAGCTAGGCCAGAGCACAGCGGCTGAGACTAACTCTTTGCCCTCTGTTCGTTCGTGCTCGTGCCCGCCTGCCCTCTTCTTTTCTCAGGGTACCCATGCTCCTCCTCTTCCTGCTCCTCCTCCTACTACTACTCCTACTCCTCCCCCTCCTCCTCTCCTCCATTCCGACCCCCATTTGGGAGGCCGCCAGTTGGGCGTGGGAGTATCGCGGCATCGGAGTTCGCGGCGAAGCGTACGAGGGGGTGGCGCGAGGGGGGGTCCTCGCTTAGGGGGGGATTTCAAAAACCAGTCTTTCGAATTCAAAAAAACATGAATTGTCTTTCGATTTTTTTTTTACAAAAAAAAAAAAAAAAAAAAAAAAAAAAAAAAATGTTTTTTCACCCAAAAAAAACATAAAAAGCTTCCTAGCATTGAGTGGGGGAGCCTCTTTTAGGGGGGTGGGGGGCCTCTCGCAGGGCATCGGCCCTTTTGGTTCGGTAACACATCATGGGAGCCTTGCGTGCCCTCTTTATGTTGTCTCTCGCGTCGACTAGCGTCTGGGGGTCGACGAGATAACGCCGATTTAGCGTCGACCTAGCGTCGACTAGCGTCGATTTAGCGTCGATTCGCGACGATTCCCCAGGGCCGACAAGATGATATGGGAGGCTCCCATGAGTTGCCACCGAATCTTGGGAAGGGGCCAGGGTGCTCGAAGACGGCGTCGCGCCACCCGCCTTTCCGACCACGTGCGCCCTGACCTCCTCGCGCTGCGAAACGATCACGACGGAAGGTTTCCCGTTATTTTGGCCCCCCAGGGGCTTTTTTATTCAGGTCCGGGACCTTCAAACACGATTCAGGATGAAAAAGCGGTCCCGGAGAAGGGGTCCAGACCGTTGAGAGTCGACGTTGCGCAAGAATCGCGACGCCCCGGGTCTGGGCAAGAGTAGCTTTTCGCGGGAGTGATGATTTGCTGCGACCCCCGCGGGGTCCCCACGATCGCTGAGCGCGATGCGATAGCAGAGGCCTGCGTGCTCAGGTTTGGCCCCCTCGAGCCCCCCCAGGAGCCACGCACCAAAGGTCACTGTTGCCCAGGGTCATTATTGCGTGTTGTCGATTTTCGTTTGCGCACCGCCAAGTGGGCGACACAAAGAAACGGGGTCGACCGCGCCGACATTGGCGCGTAAGCTGCCCGCGTAAGGTCGCGCGTAAGTGCCTTCGCTTCTGGTGCGGTGTGACGCGCTGGCGGCCCGCGTAAGCTACCGCGTAAGGTCGCTGTGCCACTGCGCGTAAGACCCGTTTATTTTCGTCGCTCGAGTTGTAGTGGTTATTTAATTGTTTTCACCACAGGACATGGGCGGGGAGGAAGACAACAAGAAGAAGGGCGATGCCCGTGTGGAGTGGGTGCTCAAACGCCTGAGCACACTACTGGGGACCAGGCCAGAGAAGGTGGACAAGTTCTTCCAGGTATGCGACGCAAAGAGGGGGGTCGATTGCCTGGGTACTCGCGCGTAGTAAAGTGTCAGCGTAAGGTTGCGCGCAAGTGTTCATGTTTCCACGCAGTGTGCCAGGCCAGCAGCCTGCGCAAGCCACCGCGTGCGTTCACCACGTCCTCTCGCGTGAGGCCCCTTCCTTTCCGCCGCCCAGGCTTTCCAGGCTGATCAGACGTCTGCAGCGGCACTGAACCGATTCCTTGACGACGTCGAATGCACATTCTGTGCATTTTATCCAACAGGGGAGTCAGTCACAGCCAATAGCACCGACATACCGAGTGCCAACCAGATGAAGAAGAAATTCGTCATGATGCACAGGTCGCGCCCGGAGCAGATCATTGGCATGGACAACATCGGCGATTCTGTCATCCTCGTCGAGATCACGAAGAACGTGATGGACCTGCTGAGTGTGTACTGCCAGTCTGTCTACCTCTCCACGCTCACAAACCCAGCCAACCAGAGGGGCTGGTCCGACCTGATCGCGAAGGATCTCATGGACAAGTACCACGTGTTCCTCGCGAACCTCCACGTGACCGTGGGCCTCATGAAGGGCCACACGTGGCTGCCGCAGCCGCCCAGGGATGCGCTGCCCAGCAGTGGGACACCCGGCGCCAGCGGTGGCAATAGCTCCAGTATGGGGAGCAAGGACCGCGTCCACGTGCTCGAGGGCGCGGTGATTACGTGGACGAAGCAGATCCGCCATGTCCTGAAGCAGGATCCAGAGATGCTCCTGAAGGAGGGCCGCGACCCCGAGCCCAGCGCCGAGTTGCTCTTCTGGAAGAACAAGGCCGCGAACCTGAACTCGATCCACTCCCAGCTAGGCATGGACGCCTTGAAGAAGGTGCTCAAGTTTCTCGAGACGAACAAGAGCACCTACACCACGCCATTCTCGCGGCTGCAAAAAGAAGTGGAGGAGGCTCGGGAGGAGGCCAATGACAACGTCCGCTTCCTCGCAACTCTGACCAAGGACATCGATAAACTCATGAATGAGAGCGCCGACTTCGAGACTCTAGACAAGCTGTTCGACAGCGTGCTGCACAAAATTCTGCTCATCTGGCGTTACTCGAAGTTCTACAACACGCCCACTAGGCTAGCGGTCCTGATCCGAGAGATTTGCAACACCATCATTACCCAGGCCACTCGGTACATCAGCGGGCCAGACGTTTTCTCCATGATCTCCAGTGAGGAGGCAGGTGAATGCTACGACAAGCTGGACCGCACCCTGCAGGTCTGCACGGCTTTCAAGGACACCTACGTGCTCTACCGCGACATCGCGGCTGCCCAGGGCGGGGACGGCTGGAAGATGAAGAACGATGCCTTGTTCGTGCGTCTGGACGCTTTCCGCGAGCGCTGCAGGGATGCGCTGGACTTCACCCGCACCGTGATGCAGTTCACGAAGCTCGAGCGCATCGAGATAGGGGGCACCAAAGGCAGCATGCTCTCGCTCTCGGTGGAAGCCATCAGGGAGGAGTTCACGGCTGCCGTGGACAAGTTCAAGGCCGTGCCTTACGACATCATGAACGTGGGCGAGCGCCAGTTCGACCACGACTTCTTCCAGTTCCGTGCTGACGTGAAGGAGTTGGACCGCAGGCTTGGCAGCCTGTTTGGTTCCGCTTTCGACGACTTGGATACTTTGCAGGGCAGGCTGAAGCTTTTTGACAACTTCGAGGGGCTGCTCGAGCGTCCCATCATCCAGGCAGAACTGGAGAAGAAACACAAGGCGCTTCTCAAGCAGTACCAGCAGGACCTGTCCGAGGTTGAGACCACCTACATCGATAACAGGGAGAAGGTGGACGAGTGCCATGACGATGCCCCGATCTTCCAGAATCTGCCCCCTATGTCGGGCGCAATATATTGGGCGCGCAGCCAGCGAAACCGCATCACCGAGCCTATGGGGAAACTGATGCTCTACAATGCGACGCTGAGAGAGACACCAGAGGAGTTCCGCGAGGTTGAGAAGCAGTATTCGAACTTGCACAAGATGTTGGAGGCATACGAGATTCAGCGCTACCAGAGCTGGGAAGAGAAAGAGGTAGACGTCGCCAAGGAGAAACTGAAGATGCGCTTGTTGCGACGGCAGGAAAAGACAGGCTTGCTCAAGGTAAATTTCGACGATGCACTCAAGAGACTATTACGCGAGGTACGCTTCTTCCTCATCTTCGACATCGAGGTGCCAGGATCTGCGCAGACAATGTTCAACCAAGCGCCTGTGTACCGGCAGTGGGTTGGGCAGCTCGATTACATTGTGCAGATGTACAACTCTGTGCTCACAGAGTTGCTACCAGTGGAGGAGCCTCTGATGGAGGAACGCATCACCAAGATGGACGCGACGCTCTCCCCGGGCCTCACGGACCTGAAATGGCGCAGCGAGGCTCAGATCCCAGAGTTCATTGAGGTAGCCATGAAAGTAGTCACCGACGTGTCTAGCGTGGTCGAGATCCTGAAGCAGAATTTGCGCAACATCTCAAGAATTCTTTCGAACTGGTGCAAGGAGCCCATCATTGAGAGAAAGCGGGGCGCAAAGCCGATGCCGATGGATGCGTTCGATCTCCAGCACAAAGAGCGCGTGGGAGTCCGAATGATGGCCATGACGGAGGGCGGCAAGGAGATCCACAAGTTCCTGAAGGACTCCAGCGAGGCCCTCAAGGTCTCCAAGACGGAGAAAATCTGGAAGTCGTACGTCGATTTTGTGAACAACATCGTGATCGAGGGCTTCGTCGCCTCCATCGCGGTTTCGCTACAGAATCTGTGCGAGATCTTGGACCCTCTCTTTATCGAGCGAAGGGGCGAGCTGCCGCTTTTCGACGTCAAGATCGAGCTTCAGAACGAGATCGTATTCGACCCGCCGTTCCGGCACTTGAACGGCGACCCTTCCCTGAGAAAGACAATCGACGATTGGCTCAAGGACTTCTTCGGCACCGTGACGTGCATGGCACGTCTGGACATGTCAGCTGGCGACTACCTGAACGAGATCCGTGAGCACTTCCAGATGCAGAGTCTGTTGTCGCTCGTCTCTGACAACATCGACAATACGGAGGAGAAGTGCATGGAGTACCGCCAGTCGTTCATGCAGCACTCTTTCCTTTGGGCGGATTCGATCGATAAATCTTTTGAGAAGTTCTTGAACGAGAACGCACACGATCTTGTTGAAGGAGAGATGGAGGAAGGCATGGACTTCCGCACCATCATGGACCGCATAAAGGTGGACATCGGTCGACCCATCCCCAAGTTACAAGAATTCGATAAAAAGATTGAGTTCTTCTCGAAGATGAAGCAGGACCTGACCAACATCAAGACCCCCGAAGATATCCACTGGCTGCGCATCAACGTGCAGCCCGTGAAGATTGCGTTGGTGAAGTACGCGAAGTCTTGGGAGGATAAATATACAGTTTTCCTGAAGGATTTCACCGAGTCTAGGATCAAGACGCTCGTTGATTTCATCGACAAGCTCAGGGTGGGCCTCGGCTCGAAGTCACCCGTGGAGGAGCCAGAAAACGAGAAGCTGCTTTACGCTGTGATGACATACATCGCAGACGTCAAGCTGGCAAAGTCTGCAGTGAGCAGCCTCTTCCAGCCCATCAGGGAATTATGCCACCTCCTCAAGAAGCACCAGATTGTCCCTGCAGGGCTCCAGGAGTTGGAGCACGCGCCCTCCAAGTGGGACGAGGTGATCCGTCTAGCCTACGACGAGAAGGAGAAAATCTTGCCCCTTCAGAACGAAGAGAGCATCAAGATCAGGAGCAAGATCGACCACTTCGGTATGGAGGTGGCAGCCTTCCGAAAGCAGTTCCTGACAGAGTGCCCCTTCGACGAAACGAATGCCAAAACGCGCGATTACGACAAGAGTTACAACGCCATCAACGAGTGGTACGTGAAGACCCAGGACATCAGAGCGCGGGCAGGCGAGTACAACGACCTCGAGATGCTGTTCGACATGGCCATGTCCAACTACCGTGATCTGAAATACTGTTTCGAAGAGCTCGTGCTGCTGAAGAACTTATGGGATGGGGTCTCGCTCGTCCTGGATACTTTTGAAAACTGGAACGACATCCTCTGGGAAAAGATCGACACCGACGGGCTGGTGGCGACCGTACGCGACTTCCAGAATCAGGTCAAGAACATGAACAAGTTGGTGCGAGGTTGGAAGCTGTACAAGTGGCTCCAGGACGAAGTGAAGAACATGGCCACTGTGCTGCCGCTCATCAATGACCTGCACAGCGACACGATGGCCGACAGGCACTGGACGTCGCTGATGACAGTGACGCAAACCACGTTCGACAAGGGCCCAGAATTCTGCTTCAAGAATCTACTCGACTTGCACCTTCACCACTTCGCGGACGACGTGTCGGAGATCGTCGACCAATCAGTCAAGGAAGCTAAAATCGAGAAGAAGTTACTCAGAATCAGCAAGGACTGGGCCAAGATGCAGGTCACCTTCGACACGTCGAACCCCGAGTGCCCACTGCTTGGTGAGCTCGGGGAGATCCTCGAGCGCCTCGACGGCGACTCCCTCGAGATGATGGGTATGACATCGCAGGGCCGTTTCATCGAGTTCTGTAAGCCGTTGGTGGACGAGTGGAGTGGCAAGCTTCGCACAGTCGACTCCGCCCTCACCGTCTGGCAGAAGGTGCAGGCCAACTGGTGCCGCCTGGAGCCCATCTTCATGCAGAGCGACGACATCCGGTCCCAGTTGCCCGAGGACGCGAAGCGCTTTGAGCAGATGGACAATCAATGGAAGGACCTGATGCTCGACGCCTCTGGATCCCACCTCATCGTGGACATTTGCTGCTTCGAGGGCCGGGAGGACGCGCTCACTCAAATCAGCGAGGGCATCGACACGTGCGAAAAATCGTTGAACGAGTATTTGGAGCAGAAGAAGAAGATCTTCCCGCGCTTCTACTTTGTGGCCAACCAGGCGTTGTTGGACATCCTATCGAACGGAAACCGCCCTCTGAAGGTCGCCGAGTACCTCGGAGATATGTACGAGGGGGTCAAGACGCTGAACTTCGAGAAGGATCCCAGTACTGGAAAGATCGTCTCTGGCATCCTCGCCAAGGATGGCGAGAAGGTGCCGTTCATGGCAGACCTCGTTCTGGACGGCGCGGTGGAGAACTACTTGGTTGCCATGGAAGCGCACTTCCGCATGCAGCTGCGCGAGATTCTCGAGCAGGCAAAGGCCACAGCCGATTGGGACATGGACGGTTCGAAGCCTCGCGAGTTCTGGCTCGAGGACTACTGCGCGCAGCTCGCCTTGGTGGGCACGCAGATCATGTGGACAGAGGAAACGGCCCGTGCGTTCGAGGAGATCGAGAGTGGCAACGAGAACGCCATGAAAGAGTCTAAGAAAGTCAACGACGAGCGCATTGAGAAGTTGATCAAGCGCGTGCAGACGCCACTCGACAAGGAGACGCGCAACAAGATCATCACCATCATCACTATTGACGTGCACTCCCGTGATGTCATCGAAGACTTCGTGGTCAAGCGGATCACGGATTCTTCTGACTTCAAGTGGTTGCAGCAGCTGCGTTTCTACTGGACCCACTGCCCCCAGAACTCGAACTTGGTTTCTTATACGCCGGAGGATCAGAAGACATGCGTCATCAAGATCTGCGATTGGACCACGATTTATTGCTACGAGTACGTTGGCAATTGTGGCCGCCTTGTGATCACACCGCTCACTGACCGGTGCTACATCACACTGACGCAGGCGCTCAACTTGACGCTTGGCGGTGCGCCCGCAGGTCCCGCAGGGACAGGCAAGACGGAGACCACCAAAGATCTGTCCCGAGCCATTGGCTTGCAGATCGTTGTGTTCAACTGCAGTGATCAGATGACTTATCAGACAATGGCACAGATCTTCATGGGCATCGCCCAAACTGGGTGCTGGGGATGCTTTGACGAGTTCAACCGTATCTCCATTGAGGTGCTCTCGGTGATTTCTACACAGTACAAGACGATCTTGGATGGCATTCGGCAGAACTTGACATCACTGAACTTCATGGACGAAGAGATTCGATTGATCAACACGAATGGCGCATTCATCACCATGAATCCGGGGTACGCCGGGCGCACCGAGCTGCCAGAAAATTTGAAGGCACTCTTCCGGTCCGTTGCCATGATTGTGCCAGACTTGCGCTTCATTTGCGAGAACATGCTGATGTCCGAGGGTTTCATTAAGGCCCGCCCGTTGGCGAACAAGTTCGTGCAGCTCTACGCGTTGTGCAAAGAACTCCTGTCGAAGCAGATGCACTACGATTGGGGTCTCCGGGCAGTCAAGTCCTTGCTTCGGCAGGCTGGAGGGCTCAAGCGTGCCGAGCCAGAGTCTGACGAGAATCCTGTACTATGCCGTGCTTTGCGCGACTTCAACACGCCCAAGATCACTACAGGTGACATGCCCATTTTCCTGCGGCTCATCCAGGACCTCTTCCCTGGCATTTGGCCGAACCAGTTCGAGAACCCCGACTTCGAGCAAGTTTGCGTGCGCATCGCCAAGCAACGCGGCCTGCAGCCGGATGCGCAGTTCATCATCAAGACGGTCAGCATGTTGGGAATATTGGAGGTCAGGCACTGCATGTTCATCATCGGGCCCACAGGCTGTGGGAAAACCGAGGTGTGGAAGACGCTCATGGAAGCGCTCAAGGAAACGGGCAGCGACGGGATGTGGGAGCAGGCCAACCCGAAAGGCGTCACGTCCGACGAGCTCTACGGTACCATGTCAAAGACAAAGGAATGGAAGGACGGCCTCATCGCCGTCATCATGCGTAACATGAGTAAGGAAATGAACGGGTACAAGTCCACACACCAGAACAAGTGGGTCATTCTGGATGGCGATATTGACGCTACCTGGATCGAGTCCATGAACACGGTCATGGACGACAACAAGGTTCTCACCCTGGTGAGCAACGAGCGCATTCCGTTCACGCCCAGCATGCGCATGATTCTGGAGATTCAGGATATGAAGCATGCGAGTCCAGCGACAGTGTCACGCGGCGGCGTACTTTTTGTCAACGAGACCGACATAGGCTGGAAGCCGTTCATGGAGAGTTGGCGCGAGAAGATGGACCCGGTGCCGCAGAACACCTTCTATTTGCTATTCAACAACTATTTTGAATCACAGATAGAATCGATCCGAAAGTCGTTTGGCTTTTCTTGCCCGATCTATGACATGGGCTTCGTCCAGTCGATCACCGCCTTCGTGGACGCTCTGCTTGAACACAACACGAAGGAAAATTTGGAGGCCTTCCGGACGATGGGCACCGAGGATCTCAAGCTGGCCTACGATGCCATTTTCGCGTTCGCCTTGATGTGGTCCATCGGAGGGGCCGTCGCGGACGACAAGGTGACAAATCACCGCAAGAATTTCAACTCGTTCATGAAGGGTCTGTCAAAGGTCAAGTTCCCAGATGTTGGTGATTGCTTCGACTATTTCTTCGACCCGAAGGCCAGGGAATGGGTCTCGTGGGAAGACAAGGTGCAGGCGTACGAGCCGATCGCTGACAGAATGTACCAGAATATAGTCATCAGCAATATGGAGCTGGAGCGCATGAAGTACGTGTTCGACCTTCACGTCAAGGTCAAAAAGCCGGTGTTGTACGTTGGAGTTGCTGGGACTGGGAAGACGACGATTGTTAAGGACTTCCTTGCCGACCTGAAGGCGAAGACTGATGATTTCATGAGCCAGTCGATCAACAATAACAACTACACCACCTCCCTCCGCCTCCAGAGCATTATCATGAGCTCCCTGGACAAGCGGTCCGGCAAAACGTATGGCCCGCCTGCGAATAAGAAGTGCATCTTCTTCATCGACGACATTAATATGCCATACGTCGACAAGTACGACACCCAATCGGCGATCATGCTCCTCACGCAGATGCTCGCATACGGGGAAGTGTACAATCGAGATTTCCTGTCGGAGAAATTGCTTTTGACCGACATCCAGTTCACTGCGTGCATGAACCCCAAGGCTGGGTCTTTCATGATCAACCCGCGCCTGCAGCGCCGCTTCACTGTGATGACGACGTTTACGCCCACTGGCCAACTCATCTCCAGCATCTACACTGCCATCCTCTCCAAGCACTTGGGGGGATTTGTGCCAGCCATACAGAAGCTCTGCGAACCCATCGTGACTGCAACGATCGAGACGTTGACAACCATCCTGAACACGCAGTGCTTCCTGCCGTCGGCCTCCAAGTTTCACTATCAGTTCAACTTGAAGGACATCTCCAACATCTTCCAGGGACTGCTGAACACCAACTCGCAGCTCTACAAGGATGGCGCGCCGAAGTTCGCCCGTGTGTGGTTGCACGAGTGCTACCGGGTCTTCTCGGATCGTCTCGTGTCCAAAGAGGACCAGGCGGAGCTCCAAGTCATCCTCGAAAAGGCAGCCGGGAAAGCATTCGCCGGCATGTCCAAGGAGGACCTTTTCGCCCAGCCGTTGATTTTTACTTCGTTCGTCTCGCAGGCGGGCGGCAACGAGAGGCAATACCTGCCAGTGAAGGACGGGGCGCACCTGAAGAAGGTGGTGGTACAATTCAGAAAGTCGAGTTCGGGTCTGTGCACAATCGAGCACGGTTATCGGTGCATTGATGGTTTGTTTGTGTTTCCAAGAATAACGACTTGCAGTGTATGTTTCCCAGATAGGCTGGCTTGATGGGTTATCACTGGTTATTTGCGCAGGTCGGTTCGACACGACACGGGAGTCGGTTCCGCGCGCAAGTGATTGTGTTGTGTTGATGGTGACGTGCGCTATGCTATGCCGTTATTGCTGTGCTGCGCGGGGCTAATACATATATGTCTGTCTACATATATATATATATATATATATATATGTGGTACGTCATGCTTGGCTATCCAATGCCATACAGTGTCACGATGTGCTGGGATACGCACTGCTCTTAAATGATATTGTATGCTATGCCATGCTGCGTTATGTTAGGCGGCACCGTTCATGCAGATGCCGATATGCAATATGCTAGCCTCCTCCTCCTCATCTCCCTCCTCTCCCTTCTCCCCCCCTCCTCCTCCTCCTCCTCCTCCTCCTCCTCCTCCTCCTCCTCCTCCTCCTCCTCCTCCTCCTCCTCCTCCTCCTCCTCCTCCTCCTCTAGGCAGCGTTGTTATATGAAGTGGAATGGTCCGTGATGTTCGGCATTGCGAAACACCTCATTACGTCGCGCCGCACACATGTTATGCCTGCGTCCTGCTAAAGGGACACCAACACGTGGGGTCGTTACGGTGCATCTTCGGGGGACCTCGCCTGTCCCCAAAATTGGTGTCTTATCTTGTGCGGGCTCGATGCGGACTCGATGCGGACTCGATGCGGACTTGACGCGGATTCGACACGGATTCGACACGGACCCGATTTATCCGACATGAATTCGACACCGATTAGACGCGGATAGGGCCGAGAGGGGACAGACAAGGTCCCCCGAGGATGCAACATAACCCATACATGGGGTCGCGCCACGTTCGTTAGAAATGTTTTGAAGAACGCGATAGTACACATGGATCAGACCGCAACGGGCATGTGATAAGAACGTTGAGAATGTCGCAAAAACGTGTTGGCAGCATTATGTGAACGCGTTGAAATTCAAGTGGTGACGAGTCGAGCCGAACGGGATGCGGCGATAGTGTCGTCAGCAAGTATTACGCATGTGTCGCAGCCGCACGTGCGAGTGTAGTGAGGGAGGGAAGGAAATGATGAGGGACCGCAAATACATGATAGACTTGGCAGGGAGGAAGAAAACGGGAGAGGATGGCTAGAACGGAAGGAAGTAAGGGCAGGAAGGGGGAGAGGTAGAGTGGAGGAAGGATGGAGAAACGCGTTGCATTGAGCACGGGGGAGGGAGGGAGGAGCAGAGAGATTGAGGGGTGAAAGACTAAGCAGTGCTGGAGAACGTGCGGCGAAAGCTTGAAGCAAATGAAACAGCTTCAAAATACAATTGGCGCCATTGAGATGCGACAGTCCAGTGAGGCACAAGTTGGTCGAGCTAAGACTTGTTCTAGGTCGCTACAGAGGGCTGAAACATCTACCAATCTGGAGTCACACGGCAGGTAGTCCGAAGTTCATGATGGACGGTGCCCAGTCGATCGGTTCTTTCGGGTTTTGGGTCAGACGGCAGACCAGCATGAACGGTGCCCCGATCTCCCAGGGCGGGCAATGCAGGCTTGTGGATTCGGAGAAGCAACAAAAGGGCGCTGTTCATTATGATGTCGACATGTTATTTCGAGCAGTGTCAGGCAGTATGGCCGTGACAGGCTGTATAGGTACGCGACAAATTTGATTGTTGAGGAGACGTTTCGGCCAGTTGCCGACGAAGTAATCACACATGCCCTCGACGACGAGGGGAAGAGCAGCCAGCCGTGCATGAAGACCTCAACAGCCAGATGTTTCCGAGAGCCATGTCCATTCGGAATGGCACGCTCAATCTTGAGGTCGTGGACGCCTACGGCAAATCGCGTGGGTACAAATAGGACATCGGGGACACGTCTGCTGAGTTGTATGAGATGTTGTTTCACGCAGCGGGGCTGCTCAATGTGTCCAGCCCAAGAGCCATGTATCGAATCCCTCGTTTTCCTTTTTCGGAAGTGCGGAGCGCGATCCGAGCCAGGAATAAAAGAAGGGATGGAACAGAATGCAGAAAATAGACGCGATGTGTGTGTGTTGTGTGTTGTGTGTTGTGTGTTGTGTGTTGTGTGTTGTGTGTTGTGTGTGTGTGTGTGTTGTGTGTGTTGTGTGTGTTGTGTGTTGTGTGTGTTGTGTGTGTTGTGTGTTGTGTGTGGTGTGTGTGTGTTGTGTGTTGTGTGTTGTGTTGTGTGTTGTGTGGTCTGTGGTCTGTGGTCTGTGGTCTGTGGTCTGTGGTGTGTGGTGTGTGGTGTGTGGTGTGTGGTGTGTGGTGTGTGGTGTGTGGTGTGTGGTGTGTGCGTGCGTGCGTGCGTGCGTGCGTGCGTGCGTGTGTGTGTGTGTGCGCGTGCGTGCGTGTAAGTGTAAGTGTAAGTGTAAGTGTAAGTGTAAGTGTAAGTGTAAGTGTAAGTGTAAGTGTAAGTGTACGTGTACGTGTACGTGTACGTGTAAGAGTAAGTGTAAGCGTAAGCGTAAGTGCAAGTGCAGGTGCAAGTGCAAGTGCAAGTGTAAGTGTAAGTGTAAGTGTAAATGTAAGTGTGTGTGTGACCTGTCTCCCTAATTAAAGCTGTGCGTAGCCCGCCTAGCTTTTAGCGGAAGAGGTTCGCTCTCGCCCCGCAGATCAAAAAAGTGTGTGTGTGTGTATGTGTGTGTGTGTGTTTGTATCTCTGTCTCTGTCTCTGTCGGTGCCTGTGTCTGTCTCTGTCTCTGTTTCTGTGTCTGTCTCTGTCTCTGTGTCTGTCTCTGTGTCTCTGTCTCTGTCTCTGTCTCTGTCTCTGTCTGTGTCTGTCTGTCTGTTTGTCTGTCTGTGTGTGCGTGTCGTGTTGTGTGCCCGCCCGCACTGACACGCTCGGCCTCGCACCAGCCAGCCTCCCCGCTTGCCACCCCTTGCAGCTGCGCGCTGTCGCCTTGGCCTCGGCCGTCCTTGCTGTCACTCGTCGCTCGTCGTGCTGCGCCTCCACTTTCCTGAGATTTGCCCTTCCACCCTATGCACCCTCGCTGCCCATGCCCGGGTATGCGCTTGGCTTGGTCGACCCAAGACGGTTCCCACACGCTCCGAGCGGCCCGCCTCGTGCGCGAGCCCGCCCGTTCGGTGATCTTCTCCGCCTTAACGCTGCTCGCGAGGCCACAGCCGCCAAAAGTTTGTGTGTGTGTTTGTGTGCTTGTGTGTTTGTGTGCTTGTGTGCTTGTGTGTTTGTGTGTTTGTGCGTTTGCGTGTTGGTGTGTTAATTCCTGTTCAAGGCGTTCCTTTGCAAGTACTTCGTCCTCGGCACCGCCTGATTTCGGGGCTTTGCCCCCTCCTGGCCTTGATGTGAGGCCCCTCCTTCCGCTTCCCTCTCGCTAATTCAAGCTGTGCGCGGCCCGCTTAGCTTCGACCGGAAGAGGTGCGCTCTCGACCCGCGGATCAAATTATCCAAGTGCGACCCTACCTAGGAGTTGGAGGATCTAGGAAAGCAACATCTGTATCTAAACCGAAAGCTACATCAACATCTACACCTGCATCTACATCCACATCAACATAAACAGCGAAACTCACATCTACATCTACATATACATCTACATATACACCTACATATACACCTACGTCTACCGCAACATCTATACCTAAAACTACACCTACATCTACATCTACACTTTGCTTGCCCTTGCCTTGCCTTTGCTTTTGTTTTTGATTTGCTTTGCTTTGCGTTGCTTGTGCTTTGCTTTGTTGTCGCTGCCGTTGATTTGCCTTTGCTTTGCTGCTATGCTGTGCTGTGCTGCGCGGTGCTTTGCTATGCTGTGATGTGCTGCGCTATGCTATGCTATGCTATGTTATGCTGCGCTATGCTGTGCTATGCTGGGCTCTGCTATGATATGCTGTGCTGCGCTGTGCTGTGATACGCTCTGCTTTGCTATGCTGTGCTCTGCTGTGCTAAAGCTCAGCGAAGCTAAAATGAAGGTGAGCTAAATTAAGATACAACTGAGGTAAGATGAAGCAAAGCTGAGGTAATATGAAATAAGCTAAGTTAAGATGAGATAAGCAACGCGAAGCTAAGGGAACGTCACTGGGGGAACCGCGGGGCGGATGCTGGGGGAACCGCCCGGGGCGAGCCCCACTGCCCGGCCCTTTAAGCTTAGCTATGCTATGCTAAGCTGCGCTATGCGATGCTATGCTATGCTATGTTATGCTGCGCTATGCTATGCTATGGTTGACTACGTTATGCTATGATATGCTGTGTTATGCTAGTGCTGCAGGATGCTAAGTTAAGCTAAGTTAAGCTAAGCTAAGCTAAGCTAAGCTAGCCCTCTAAGCACAGCCCAGGTAGGGAATTACACCCATGCTATGATATGCGTTGCTGCGCTATGCTGTGCTACGCTATGCTGTGCTCTGCTATGATATGATATCAGCGAAGCGAAGATGAAGGTCAGCTAGCTAAGATAAGCCTGTGCTAAGATGAACCTAAGCTAAGCTAAGATGAGATAGGCTAAGCTAATTTGAGATAAGCAACGCTAAGCTAAGGGGGCGTAGCTGGGGGAACCGCGGGGCGGATACTAGGGGAACCGCCCGGGGCGGATTACACTGCCCGGCCTTGTAAGCTTCCGAGTAAGAACCCTTCTAGGCAGAGCCTAGGTAGGGAAAAAAGTTTGTGTGTTTGTGTGTGTGTGTGGGCGTTCGTTCCCCCATCTGTACACGGGAACACCGTACCCGCGCACAAACTCGAGTCAGCCGCCCGCCACGCAAGCCATGCCGGCCGCGGTGGCCGAGGGGTCCACCTGTGCGGCCACCCAACACCGACACACACCCGATTGCACGCTGCTCTAAAGCCCCATCCGTCGAGGACCCGCCCCTTCCAAGCCCTGGTGGCACCAACCGTTGCCAAAGACGCGCGTCGCATCACACGAGCTCGATCTAGCTCCCGCGATACCACCAAGCAAGCGTGCGCGCATGCTGCCTTGGTGTGTTGCCCGTTGTGGCGTGGAAGGTGGTCAGACAATTCTGGGTGACGTGATGTGGGCGCACCTCACCGCGCGACTTCGCACACGCGCGCTGCAGGGTGGAGTGTGGGAACGTGGGTGGGTGAGAGAGCGCGCTGATTTTCCACTTCGCTCCGGTCGACGACAGGGCGCGGCTGGAGCACGACCGGCCAGGCGGACAATTCCCGCCCCCCCGATCCGGAGAACTAACAGACAGCGGAGGTCGGTCATCCCGACGGCCTGGGCAAACCGCAATTTGTGTGTGTGTGTGTGCATGTGTGTGGTGCGTGTGTATGTGTGTGTGTGTGGACGTGCGTGTGTGTGTGTTTTTGTGTGATGCGTGGTGTGCGTGATGTGTGTGTGTGTGTGCGTGCGTGCGTGCGTGCGTGTGGTGCATGCGTGGTGTGTGTAGTTTGTGGTGTGTATGCGCGTGCGTGCGAGCATGTGTGTGTGTGTCTGTGTGTTGGTTGTCTGTGTGCGTGTTTCTTGTGTATGTTATGCTGTGATGTGCTGTGTTGTGTTGTGTTTTGTTGTGTTGCGTTGTGGTGTGGTGTGGTATGGCGTGGTGCGGTGTGTGTGTGTGTGTGTGCGTGTGCGTGTGTGCGTGCGTGCGTGCGTTAGTGCGTGCGTGCGTGCTTGCGTGCTTGCGTGCTTGCGTGCGTGCGCGCGTGCGTGCGTGCGTGTGTGCGTGTGTGTGTGTGTAAGTGTTTGTGCGTGTGGGTGGGAGGGGCGTGCGTGCGTGTTTGCGTGCGTGCGTGCGTGCGTGCGTGCGTGCGTGTGTGTGTGTGTGTGTGTTTGTGTATATGCGCTTTTCGTTTTTTCACACCACTTTCTGCATGGCCATTATTGGGCTGTTCCATCATGGCGCGTTCAGCTAAGTTCTCTCGCAAGTGGCGCCTCCACCTGCCGTCCGCACCTGAGGTTTCTCTTCGCCGCCGACTTACAGTGTGTGTGTCTGTGTGTGTCTGTGTGTGTCTGTGTGTGTCTGTGTGTGTCTGTGTCTGTGTCTGTGTCTGTGTCTGTGTCTGTGTCTGTGTCTGTGTCTGTGTCTGCGTCTGTGTCTGTGTCTGTGTCTGTGTCTGTGTCTGTGTCTGTGTCTGTGTCTGTGTCTGTGTCTGTGTGTTGTGCACGTTGTGTCCGTAGCCCTCTGGCTCAAGCAATTCCCTGAGGGCGTTCCTTCCCCAGGGGCTAAGGCTCAAGGTTGGCCAGCGCGGACGGGCCGCGCGCTTCGGCCGCAGCGGCCGCCTCGACATGCCCGCCCTGGGGTCCCCAGCAACGCGGCGCTGGCGGCAGACGCGCGCTGCGGCGGCACACCGTCTGGCGACGGCTGTTGCGGGAGCGCCGTCCTTCGTCGGCCCGCCAGGGCTCCCTGGCGCCGCGGGCGCCGCTGATGCGACGGGTGCAGCTGGCACGGCGCGCTTCGCCGCTTTCCGCGGCGCGCTTGCCAGCGCTGCCGCCGCCGACGCGGCCAGCGCCCCCATCGGCCGCTGCTGCCAGCGCCGCCGACGCCCCAGGGGCGGTCGGCGCAGCCAGCGCGGCTTGGCCGCCCGCCTCGACCAGCAGCGCACCCGCGCCCTGCGCCGCTGGCGCCGCTGACGGTGCCGACGCCGCTGGCGTTGGCGCTGTCGGCGCCGCCCGCGCTGCCGGCGCGGCCGCCGCCGCCGCCGCTACGGGCACCTGCGCTGCGGCCGCCGCTGCTGCTGCTTGCGTGGGCCCGTGGCTAGCCGCGGCCAGACTGGCGCTGGCAGCCGAGCTCGCGGCCGCCAACGCGGCGGCGCGCACCGACGCGGACGTGGCGGGGGAGCAGGAGGACGCGGGGAAGGACGCGGGGAAGGACGCCGTCGCTGGCGGGGAGAATGCGCACGACGCCGCTCAGCCGACGCCTTCCTCTTCGACAGTACTGCCGAGAGCATCGACGCCAACATCTTCGTCAGCACAGCTTCGATCACCGGTGCCATTTTTCTTCGCCAACGCAGCCGAGAGCTTTGCCAGCATCCTCGCCAGCACAGCCAAGATCGGCGGCGCCGCCACCTTCGCCAGCACTGCCGAGAGCTTCGGCGCCAGCACCCTCGTCAACGCAGTCTGGATCCGCGATGCCACCGTCCTCACCAGCGCAGCCAGGAGCATCGACGCCAGCATCCTCGCCGCCACAGCCTGCATCGCCAGCGCCATCACTCGAGGGTGGCGTCTCCTTGCCAACGCTCTCTGGGGAGCTCCCAGGACCCCCTGAGGCATGCGCCTCCGCGTCCAACCTCCGCCATCACCCTTGGGGCTGGCGCGTCCTCGCCTGTCGCGGGGCCGCCCCGCGCAGGGGGAAGGGGGCGCCCGCGCCCCCGCGAGATGGGGGCTGCCTGAGCTGTCACTCCCGCCTCGGGGCAGTCCTGCGCAGGGAGGAGCGATCTCTTCGCCCCAGTATGTCTCAGCGTTGGCGGCGGATGTCTGCCCAGGGCCAACTGCGCTAGTGACGGAGCAGAGTTGCAACCAGTTTTCGCTGGGACTCCGCCGCACCTTTCTTTGGGGCAGGACGTTGCCACCGCAGATCTCATGAATTCAGTGCACGACGGACTCCACGCTGCGCAGGTTGCGCAGCGGGCGACGTTCTATCCCGACCGAGCCGTCGCGACACCTACCAACGACGCCGCCGACGCCCGCAACGACGCCACGCAAGCATTCTTGAATTCGGGCACAATAAAAATTGTTCTCGAGCATTGATTCCGCCGCTTCGGAACGCCTCGGGGCTGAAACCTTGTCGGGCGAGTTTCTCCGCGCCTTGCAACCCTGGGGCATGCCCCCGCGCGACCTGCGCGCGCGCCGCGGTTGATGAGTCATCCCGCTACGCAGCCGGGCGCCTCGCAAAGGACCGCGCAGAGGCGCGCGGCTCGCCATGGAAAAACGAATGGCGAATCCCACGCTCGCCCGCGCTGCCACTGACTGGGCCTTTTCCGTGGAGAGCGGGAGTTGATGCCGCGTATATGTTGCGACAGCAATGGGGACGACGAACATCCCTCCGCCCTGCATCGCCTCCGATTCCTTGCGCGACTCGCTCGGGCCATGACCGCCAACAGAAGCCAAGCGCAAGTGCCGCATACCATGCTACCCCCGCATTTTCGCACGGGCAGCTGCGCGCGGCCTCCTCGCGCGGCGCTGCATCGCAGCACGCCGGGGCGTCGGTGAAAGATAACGGAGATGACAGGCAGCGAAAAAAGAGCGACCATATCGCACCAGCACGCGCTGTCGAACATCACCGACTAAGACTGCCGGCGCATTTCCTTGCCCCAACGCACAACGGCAGAGGCGACCAGTTGCAAAGGCGCCCCCCCCCCTCGCTGCGCTCACTTCCGAGTCCTTCGCGGCCGTCATGCATGGCTCCGAAACAGCCGATGCCAGCGCGGCCCCCCCGTGGAGCGCGAAAAGGCCCCCGGCGCGATCAAGGGCCCAACGCCCGATTCCGTCCAATTTCAACGGCAAGTGCTTGCGCTGCGAGCGGTTGAACTGGATCGCCCGCATCAGTTCGACGGGTGGCCCGTTCACGCGAGCTCGCGCGCCGCCGGCAACGTCGCCAGACCGGCCCGCGACGGCCGGTAAATTTGAGGGCCTTGTCCTTTCGCGCGCGCAGCTACTCGGCGCCCTTCGCCCGCGCGCGCATCCGACCGCGTCGCGCGCCGCAAGCAAACCCGCCATGCCCCCGCTCGCAACCGTGGCCGATCGGGTCTTGCGCCGCCCCCCCCCAGGTGACGCTTCGAGCATGGCGCTATCCAAAGACGTCGCTCCTGGCAGGCCATCAGATACGCCTCGCGCGGCGTGCGAAACGACTGCCACGTCGTCGCCTGGCGCTTCCGCCAACCCGAGGGGGCCCGCGCCGGATGCGCGCGCGCGCGAAATGGAGTGCGCATGAGGCAACTGCGCAACCCGCGCTGGCCCTTGCAGACAACGCCCCGCTGCCCCATGAGCTGCCCGCGCGCGCCGAGAGAGACGTTACTCACATGGCCCAGCGCGGACTCATTGGCCCGCCCGACTGTCCCGGCGCCACTACCACTCACGACGCCTCAGAGGTCCCAGCGAAATATTAGCTTTTTGGCTTCCTGGGCACTCCTCCACGTTGCCCATCGACCGCTGGCGCTGTTCCCGCAGCTTCCGCCCCTGCAACGCCCGTCACGGCGCCCGGCGATGAGCCCCATCGCGTTCGCGGCGCCGTCCGAGAACGAGAATCTGCCCCTGAGTTCCCGCGCACTCATGCCCCGCGCGTTCTCGGCTGCAGCGCGTCGCAAAACATTTTCGACGCGGCAGCCTGTCGCGCCGGCGCCGAAGATTGCGGACCTGACCAGTCCGCGAGTCGACGAGATTTGCACGGCGCATCGCCAGACACCAAAGGGACGCACTGGGGCGGTCCAAGTCACGCAATCATGCTTTTCCCCGAACACCTGTCGTCTGTCCAATCCGCAGTTCCGCGGTTCGATACCGTCTCCAGCGCCGCTGTTTCGCAGGGGGTCCAAGCTGGTGCAACGTGCGGCACGCGCGTGTGCAATCATTGCATGGCTCCACTGAGCCTCGTTCGATCGCCAGCGCACTGCACGATTTCCACGCAGCTCTCACAGCTCACCTCGGGGACACCGCAGAGAACCCGGTCAAACCAGGCGGACGCAACTGCGACAGTGCAACTTGTACATGCAATGTCCCGCGCCAGGATGTCGCCACTTTTCCACTGGCGGCTGCGGAGATCCAAGAACGCCTGGGCCACCCCTTCGCTCCGCACTTCACAGCAGAAAGACTGGCTACGATTGCCGCATTTGTGATTCGCGCGCCTTCTGCTGGAGGCCATGGGATAGCCTTATTCGCGCGCGCGGCCGTGGATTCCAAGCGGCCGCTGCGAAAGCTCCGCGGCGCGATTCGCCGCGACCCCCCCCCCCCCCCCGCGCTGCGCCGAGCAGATGGGCGCGGAGCAAATTCTGGCGATCTGCGCTTTCAGCATCCCGAGCCATTTTTCGACAGCGACAGCGAGTCTTAATCGGACTTCCCGATCATCAAGATGGCGCTGCTCGCTGAGCGCCCTTTCGCACTCGCGCGCGGGCATCGTGGATCCAGATCGATAGTTGCGGCTCATTGAGGCAGTTCTGCACTGCGGTACAGAACTCCTAGATCTACTCGTTCATGCGCGCCCGCTGCGCCAGCGCGCAGGGGTCTGCTCTTTTTTTGTTTGTTTTCTCTCTCTCTCTCTCTCTCTCTCTCTCTCTCTCTGGTAGGCACGCGATTGCGCGCCAGAGTGGATGAATTTTCACGCGCCGTGCATGACCGCGTCATTCGCACGCGGCGCAGACCATAAGCTATGCGCGCGGGTAGAGTTTTTAAGCTTCCTGTTCTGCTGCGAAGTCGAACCGTGGCGCTTGCCCATGGCACAGTTCAGGGCGCTGCTCGCGCCTCTCGGCCCAATACCGATGATGCTCTGCTCCGGAAAAGCACACTGTCCTGTTTGCGTGCATCGCGCCGCATGCGCATGACGGGTCGCACGTAGGTAAACCAGAACGCTGCCGATGTATCGCTGGACGCGCGCGTGCACTTGCATGTCGCCCCCCCATTGCGGTCCACGCAGCCTCCCGCGTCGCCAACCGCTGCTGCGTGAAACGCCCCGGACGCGTCCTGGCGACACCTTCCGACATAGCTTCGCAAGTTTGGGACCTTCCCGGTCATCGCAGGAACCCGGCCGACCATAAGGGATACCCTTTTGTCGAATGATGTAGTGTTCCGTGTCTTCCGAACATCTTCACGCAGGGTCCTGTCTCGACCGTTGGGAGTTCCGTCTGGCCGATGCCAAAGATGCCTCTGGACCCGTAGGGCCGCCACGCAGAAGTCATCTCTTCAGTTGTGCTCAGGCCTCGTTGTGCTCTTTTCGGGGCCCTCTTAGCGCAACCCCAGAGCCACTCTTGGAACCGCCCCCCTTTTCCCCCCGCCTTCTCGCCGAACGTCATGGCCTTCGGTCGCGCTGGCGGGCCAACGGCATCACTGCCGTCGCGTTTCCCCTGCTGGCGCAACCGGGCGAGGGGGCAGCGGTTCCCTTTCATGTTCCTCCTTCTTTCTCGCTCACTTCCACAATTACACAATATGATTGCTAGTCTCCTGTTTCCCCTGGCTGTCCCGGGAGTGCCCCGCCCTTTCCGCGCGTTTTTTTTTTCGCTGGATTTCATTATTTGTTTTTTCTTGCGTGCGTTTTTCAACCCGGTCGTTCTTGGTTCTTCTAAAATGCCGCCCCCATTGCAGCGCCGCCATCATGTCCGCGTTGCGGCCATTCGAAATATTGTTCCCGCTGCAACGTTGGCCTCGTTCCCGCGCCCCCCTTTGTTCCAAGTCGCGTTCCCGCAGCAGCACTGGCGTGCTCGGTCCTTCAAGTAGCGTTGTCGTTGTAGCGCTGGTTTCGTTCCAATGCTTCGGCCCTTCCAAATCGCGCTCCCGCTGCAGCGGTGGCCTCGCTCCCGTTTTCGGTCTTGGCTTCGCTCTCGCGCCCCAGTCCTTCAAAATAGTTTCCCCGCCGCAGCGCTGGTCGTATTGCCGTCGGTCCTCGCCTCCGTCGCCCCCGTGCCACGGCATGCAACATGATGTCGTGTTGAGCACCACTGTGCGCTGCCATGCGTTGCGTTGCTTTGGTTTGCGATGCAGTGCTTCACTACGCAATGCCACGCCATGCTAAGACTTGTTATGCTCTGCCGTGGTCTTCGACGCCACGCTTTTACATCCATCGCGTACCCTCTTGAGATCATTGCCCTGCTCGACATCCGAATGCGCGGACAGATAGGAGATCTACGCCACGGTAAGGGATGGGAGGGAAAGGCAGCACGTCAGATGTGACACTGGCGCGCCTGGCTTGCCTTTATTTCCTCCCTCCCACGCCCGCCCCCCCCCTTCCGCCCATTGAATCGCTTTGCTCATTCCGCCGGCCCGTATTGTGCCCTCGCTGGCGTTTGGGCTTTTGGGGGCCTTTGGGGGTCCTCGTTGGGGGTTTCTTGGGGGCCTCTTGGGTCTCTGTTGGAGCCTCTTTGGGGCTTCTTGGAGCTCCTTTTGGGAGCATTTGCGAGCATCCTGACCCCCATCCTCCCAGTTTCGGTTTTTTTTGTTCTCCTCCCCCCCCCCCACCCTCTCCTCCCTCTCCCCCCCTCTCCCCCCCCTCTCCCCCCTCTCCCCCATTCTCCTCCCTCTCCTCCCCCCCTCTCCTCCCCCCCCCCCCTCCTCCCCCCCTCCCCCCCCTCTCCTCCCTCGCCGCTCCCCTCTGTGGTGTCCTCCTCGTCCCACGTGCCTGCGCGCATGGCCACCTTGCACGGCGCGAAGAGGGAGGACGAGACCAGCGACCAGGAGCGACCAGGAGAAGTGGGAAAGGGAGGACGAAGATGAGGGGGAGGAGAGTTGCGACGAAAATGATGGAAGGATGTCAGCCAAAAAGGCAAGCAAAGTGGCAAGTATGATGCAGACGACGAGGAGGACACGGAGCAGGATAAGGAGGAAAACGAAATGGAGAAGGAGTGATTGCGTATTTCTTGAACAGAGCTTCGGCATTGACGGGGTGCACAACGAAACCAGACTTGGGCACCCCTGTTCTTTGTTCAAGTTCTCCTCCTCCTCCTCCTCCTCCTCCTCCTCCAGTCTCATAGCGGATCCAGGGAAGCGCGCAATGCGTCGAAGGAGCTTTTGCGGTTCGCCCACGCGTTGGCGGGACCTCCAATTTTAATTGCCACAGGTTTTTCGACCCCAAGGAATTCCAGAATCGCGCCTGCATTCCTCATTGGCAACTTGCCGAACGAGCGCCTTGGACGCAGCCAGAACCTAAGCGCGCGAGAAACGCGCGTGTGGTTGTAGTTATAAAATATAGTTGAGCGTTCCTTCCTCAGCGCCACTGTGCGATGTTATCAGACACTATGATTTACTCATGTTCGCAAATCTGCAAGAATGCCTTACGTAGTGCCATGCACGGCGACGTTACGTCGCATGTGAACGTACAAAGCTATGCAATGCTAGCGCATGCGGTACAGTGCTACATACTGTTATGACGTACCATACTACGGGATGGTATACGAATACATGTTTGTTATACCATGCCAGTATGCGCAACTGCTTCCCATACGTTTCAACGCCGCAGCATGCAACGTCATGCAATGATGATATGAAATGGCATGCGCGTTGGCATGCCGGTCTGCCTATGTCACACCATGGCATGACATGCAAGCCGATGCGACGATATGTTATAACATGTTGTTACAAGCCATATTGCGAAATTGAGCAAGGTGGCGTTGGTATACCATTTTAGTTGGCTCTACGAGATGCCATGCTTTGCATTACGGTGCGTTGCAAACCATTACGTTTCGTTGTGTTGCATTCCATATGTTTGCCTTCAGCACGCGTGTAATTGAGGTCATACCAGTTGTTACGAATCGAGGTAACAGTTTTGAACATTGTTCCTGCCCACCTGGTCTCAAGTAGGCCCGGGCGAGTGTCCGCAGAGGTGGTTCGTTCGTTCGAACAGTTCTGAACATTGTTGCTTGCCGACTCCAGACTGTGCAATACGCACCCGCCCATGCTACCCCGCCCGACGGCCCGTTCCGGCTACCCCACGCCCACTGGAACCACCCCGTCAAGCGATCCGGCCCCCACGCCCCGCGAGGGACGGCCCTCTCTTACACTCTCGCGCGCTCCATCCCCCTCTAACGCGGACTGAACAACTCGGAGTTTTGCTGCTCCTCCTCGAGGTGGTGGAAGACAAGCTCAACGAGTACAACGAAGCGTACGCGGCCATGAACCTCGTGCTCTTCGACGACGCCCTTGGGCACATCTGCCGAATCTCGCGCATCACCGACAACCCCTGCGGCAACGCGCTGCTCGTCGGTGTCGGCGGCTCTGGCAAGCAGTCGCTGGCGCGCTTGGGCAGTTTCATCAATAACCAGGACGTACTCAGCATCCTCGTGAACCAGAGCTACGGGCTGGCAGACCTGAAGGTGGATCTCCAGGAGTTCTACAAAAAGGCCGCCGTGAAGCCAGGCCCTGAGGGGCAACGATAGGGGGGATTGGCACAGGGCGGGGGAATATCGACCTGGAATCGGCGGTACATCGCCGATTGATTGGCGATAGGCCCCCGATCGCGAATCCGAACGTTCCTGGGCAGACTTGGGCTATCGGGCCCTTCTCGGCGATCAATGGGCGATTGGGGGTCGATGCATTCCCCCCTATGCCCGTCCCCCCCTCTCGTTGCCCCCGAGGCCTCCCGCACTGCTTCCTGATGACCGACGGCCAGATCGCGGACGAGCGCTTCCTCGTTGACATCAACGACATGCTCTCCAGCGGGAACATCCCGGACCTCTTCAGCCGCGAGGAGTACGACGGCATCTTCGCGGGGGTGCGCAATGCGGCCAAGGCCGGGGGGTACTCCGATGACCGCGATGGCCTCTTTGCGTTCTTCATCGACAAGGCTCGGCGGCGCGCCCAGTGCGAAGTGAGAGAGGGGGTGGGCCTTTTCGGAAGGCGGCGGGCTTCTCGGAAGCCCCCTGGCCATCGGAGAGAAGCCGTCTGCGCTTTCGGAGCAGGCCGAGATTGCTTCTCGGAAGGCTGGGAGGCGGGAGGCCTCCTGGGCCTCCCGAGGGGCCCCGGCCTCGCTGGCTTTCCCCCTGGGCTCGCCGCCAAAAAAGGTGCGCAAGAACCTGCACTTCACCCTCTGCCACTCTCCGGTCGGGGACGACTTCCGCATCCGCGGCCGCAAATTTCCCGCTCTGATCAGCTGTACGGTCGTCGACGAGTTCATGCCGTGGCCCCGCGACGCCTTGGACGGAGTCGCCAGACGCTTCTTGGTCGACTTGCAGTCCGCTGGCAATATCAGCGACGATAACATGTTGAGCGCCGTTGCGGCTCACATGGCCGAGGTGCATCTTTCCATCGATGCCGCCAACAAGAACTTCCTCCAGATGGAGCGCAGGTACAATTACACCACTCCCAAGTCCTTCCTTGAGCTGATCAGCTTCTACATTCAGATGCTGACGAAGAAGCAGTCTGGGGTAACCTTCAACTGCGACCGCCTGGAACGAGGTCTGGCCATCATGGAGCAGGTCCAGAGCAAGGTGGAAGGTCTGAAGGAGGACCTGAACATTACGATGGTGCAGGTGGAGGAGAAGAAGGCGGCCACGGCTATCCTCATCGAGCAGGTCACTAAGGCCAAAGATCATGCAGCCGTAGAGAAGGCCAAGGCGGACGAGGAGGAGGCCAAGACCACGCTGCTGGCATCAGAAGCTGCGGCGCTGCAAGCAGAGGCCGACGGAGAGCTGAAGGAGGCGATGCCCGCCATGGAAGCCGCCAAGGAAGCGGTCAATTGTCTGGACAAGAATTCAATTTCTGAGCTGAAGCAGCTGCCGAAGCCTCCCCCCGAGTGCGTGGAGGTCTCTGCGGCCTGCGCTTTCCTGCTGAAGAACGAAAAAAAGAAGATAGCCTGGCCGGCAGCTCAGAAGATGATGAACAATCCGAACGCGTTCCTCGAGGACGTGAAGGCATATAGCCCCGAGGTGATTCTTAGGCTTACGCCACACCGCCGACCCCTTGTTTATGCCAATCTGGGGGTAGTAGAAGCTGCGAAGGGGTGAAAAGGCGAGTGATATTTGTTTGGTGTCTGTTCGCCGCCACCGCCAGAGGGTCTCGGGCACCACTTGGGGGCCCAGGTGGAGGAAAAGGAGGAGGAGGAGAAGGGGGACACGGAGAAACGGCTCTGGGTTATGGGTTATGGGTTTGAGGCGTCTTGTATGTGTATCGGGATGTCGCGGCACGCCTCTCGGGGGCCTATGGCAGGCAGTCTGGAACCACTTGGGGGCCCAGGTGGAGGAAAAGGAGGAGGAGGAGAAGGGGGACACGGAGAAACGGCTCTGGGTTATGGGTTATGGGTTTGAGGCGTCTTGTATGTGTATCGGGATGTCGCGGCACGCCTCTCGGGGGCCTATGGCAGGCAGTTTGGAACCACTTGGGGGCCCAGGTGGAGGAAAAGGAGGAGGAGGAGAAGGGGGACACGGAGAAACGGCTCTGGGTTATGGGTTATGGGTGAGAGGCTTCTTGTATGTGTATCGGGATCTCGCGGATCGCTTCTCGGGGGCCTCTGGAAGCGAGTTTTGGAGCCACTTGGGGGCCGTTTCGGAGCCTCTGGGGTGCTTCTTGGGGGTTCCTTGGGGCGTCTGGGCGGCCTCGTGAGGGCCTCTGGGGGCCTCTTGGGGCACTCTTGGGGCCCCCTGGGGCTCCTGGGGGCAGAAAGCTAGAGTTTCAACATGTTTGGTCGCCCTCTTGGGCCCCTCTTGGTGCCGTCTTGGAGCCCTCTTGGGCCGTCTTGGGGACCTCTTGGGCCGTGTTGGGGCCGTCTTGGGCCGTCTGGAGGCCGTCTTGGGGGCCTCTTGGGCCATCTTGGGGCTGTCTTTGGGGCCTCTTTGGCCGTCTTGGAGCGTCGGGAAGCCGAAAAGGCGGAAAAGCAAAAAACATCGAAAAACACTATGGAAAATCAACAATTTTAGACTCTTGGGGCCCTCTTGGGAGGCTTGTTTGGGACCTCGGGGGCCGTCTTGGAGACCTCTTGGCCCGTCTTGGGGCCATCTTGGGCGTCTTGGAGCGGTCGTTTGGCGTCTCGGGGCCTTCGTGGGCCGTCTTGGAGGCCTCTTGGGGGCTTCTTGGCCCGTCTTGAGGCCCTCTTGGGCCCGGAAAAGCTCCGTGAACCGCTCGTCCCGGCCGTGCTGCGCTCGTCCCGGACCCCCCCCCCCCCTCCAAATCGACCGGACCGGGCTCCCGGGGGAGGGGTTTGGGGAGGGGGAAGCATCTCACACGCCGATGATCCCCAAGGGGTCGGCGGATCCCGGAGCAGACGCTTAAGAATGTGGACGAATTGATCGCGCAACCGTTTTTCACCTACGAGATAATGAAGTCCAAGAGTATTGCGGCAGCGAATCTCGCTAACTGGATCATCAACTCCGTCAAATACCACAAGATATACGTCAAGGTGGCGCCCCTCATGGAGAAGGTGGAGGAGGCTACAAATACGAAACTGGAAGCCGAGGCTTCGTTGGAGATCGTCAAGAAGCAGGTGGCTGAACTCGATGCGGAATGCGCCTCGCTGGATGAAAAGCTGTCTGGAGCTGTGGCCGAGAAGGAGAGGACTGAGCAGCAGGCCGCCAAGTGCCTTGAAAAACTGCAGTTGGCGGAGCGTCTCGTGAACGGCCTGGCCGACGAGTACAAGCGCTGGACGGAGAGCGTGAAGGAGATGAAGGAACTGACGGTGAAGCTCATCGGCAACTGCTTGCTGTCCTCCGCTTTTGTGGGATACATCTCGCCCTTCAACATGCGCCTGCGCTTGGAGCTGTGGAAGGAGACGTGGATGAAGGACCTCACCGACAAGGCGATCCCCATATCTGCCTCGATCGACCCCCTGAAGGTGCTGGCGTCAGAGGCAGGGTCCAGTTCGACCCGGTCGACTGATTCGATTCGGTAATTATCGATCTTGGCTTGCACGATCCGATTCGATTGCAAGGTTCCGACGATCCGATGCGGCCCGATCCTTGCATGGCGCTGCCGTGCATCTTGGCGCGACCGAGTCGACCCAAGTTCCAGGTCCGTGCCGATGCGGCCCGATTCGGCGCACGTTAAGATGCGATCCGAGTTGATGATCCGATGGTGACCGATTCCCCAGACATGCGATGTTTTGATGTTTTCCCATGTGGTGTCCCCGGAAGTCCTGACCCTTCTCCTAGGGCAGTTGTTTCTTCGCCCAGAGTCGATTTCGATTGTCCCCTGGCCGAGGGCCCCCACAGGCCTAGATCGGCCAACAGCGAATATGTTGCGATGTTCCACCCGACACGAGCATGTCTGGGCCTACTCTTAAGTCGGGCCTGTCCCTCTACAGGAGGAAGATTCAAACATAGTTAAAACATAGTCTGGGGACGATTTGTCCATTATTTTTAGTTATTTTCCATATGTTTTGACAACTTGTACTTTCTCGCCCAAAATCCGCCTGTATGGGAGGGGGACATGCCCGACCTAAGCCTACACCAAAAGATACCGATCCGCTTCTGCCCAGACATTTCCCGGGGTGCGTTATGACCAGGATTGCGAGGCGACTCCAGCCGTGGCGACGATGGCCCTCCCAGGAGACCGAAAAAGGCGAAAACTAAGCAGCGGTAGGGGCACTGGTGCCTCTTTCTCCCCGGAGCTCCCGCAGAGGCGGACATCGCCGGCTGGTTGAACGAGGGGCTTCCGTCGGATCGCATCTCGCTGGAGAACGCGGCGGTGGTGACGGCCTGCTCGCGCTGGCCGCTGATGATCGACCCCCAGCTGCAAGGGGTCAAGTGGGTCAAGCAGAGGATCGGGGAGGACCTCCAGGTTCAGGGGAGAAGCAAGTACCGCTACCGATAGTTACCCTTCCGTCGTTTTCACCTTCTCGGCCTTCTGGGAGGCTCTTGTTGCCACGGCTGGATTCGCTTCGAAATCCTGGTCAAGACGCACCCCGGAAGAGGTCCCGGGAGTAGCGGTAGCGATTGCTTTTGGTGTCCCCACAGGTGTGGGCAATATTTACGTATGTATCCATTGCGTCTCGGATTCTCGGAGTCCCTTCCTTAGAGAACCAAGACGAAGCGGATACGGAAACATGAATGGCCTTTAGCGAGGCCAGATGTTTTCCATACCCACTGCGTCTCGTTCTTCGTGTGACGTCTATATGGATACGGATGCAAAACTTGCCCGCACCCAGGTGCTTCAGTTCACCATGAACAATTGGCTCCAGAAGGCTCGAGGAACACAGACAA